AGATCAATAGGTTCATGCATCAGTGAGTTTCTGGTGCTTTCAAAATTTAACTATTATCCCAAACCATTTCATTTCCTTGTGCCCGGGGCCTTATGTCCACCAATAACCAACTTAAAACTATCTTCAGGTTGACGAATTTAAAAGGCAACCTCTGTTAACCACGTTATGATTGAACTCAAAGCATCTGTGCTAAAACTATTAAAGAAAAAATAAAACAGCCAGCTAGCACCTCTTTTCTATTCACTAAAATTCTAATCTGGTTAAAGTTTTTGAATCAAACGCGAACTGTACACGGCGCTTTTTTCTCATGTTCCTTTTTTCATGTTTCCTCGCCAGCAAGCTGAGGCCAGTTTTCGTTTAAGCCGTTGTTTCCACGCTTCAGTGGCGAATTCAAATGGCTTTCTCGTATTTTTCGCGCCTTCAATAATTCAACAGGTTTCCTCTAACTGGTGCGACCTGTTGATCGTAAACCAAATTAGGAATTATAGTCGCTGGCATTTGTAAACGAGCCGAGAAGTCGTCGCTTGGTTCTATTTGGAAAGCAGCTAGAGTTGAAAGATTTTTTTGCCCTATAAGATGTTGTGTTATTAAGCCGTCTCTAGATATTTCTATTGACTTTATAAAGAATGGATAATGTGTGTTTCACGCAAAGAAGAGTAGCAAGGACCAAGAGATAAAGAACTGAAATGACTTCGCAAGGTAGGTTACGAATAGCCCTCACAAAAAGGTAGTTAATGCAATTCGCTATGCCAAAGCTATCAACTCATCACTGAATTCAAGTCTGGAAAAAACCTTGGGCTTGCTTCATCGAGAGTTTGAGAAGGAATTTCGTCGTATCGTCGAGGTACAACAAACAGCTCTTGGGGAGTTTCCGGAGCTTGAAAGGTATTTTCGTTCAACATTTTCAGGTGTTACAAATAAACAGTTTCGAAGACAACTTAGCGAAGCTTTGGCAAGTAAAAGGAGGACAGAGGAGTTTAAACGAATCCGAACCCGTCTGTCTTTACCAAGTTTATCACCCGTTGAACCTATAAGTCACGAAGACAACGTTTATGTTCCGCTATCTCGCTCTAAAAAGGATAGTGAGATTGTGTATCTTCCACCTATATGATGGTGTATTTTATTCACTGAGATTTGCTCTGTTTGGAGACATTTTATTTCTCGACTGTGTCAGTCTTTTGCCACCAGTTCGGCTTGCATCATAAAATCCTCAAGTGTGAGCACCTCGTGTAATACTGTTTGTTACGTGAGGTTGCACTAGCACATGATATGACGTTTTAATCGGATGAAATTCTGTGTATCCAATCAAGTGAACAGCTACTAAGCCGTTCTTTTCTGTCGTGCTTGCCATTTTTTAATGCTATACGAAGTGGCTCCATTTTGTTGAGTCTGCGGATGAAATCCAAATGACATCCAACCCAGCAGTGAGATCCTCTGGTATTGTTTGTCCTGTGTGTACGAAGTGGTTCTCACTTTAGAATCTGTGAATAAAATTGGAAAGTGTGATATTCAAATGGAAGCTTTTGAGCCGTACTTTGCTGTAGTATTTATGATTATCCTGTACAAGGTTGTTGTAACTGTTTTTGAGTCACCGATGAAATTCTTTTGACAGAGAAACCATTCAAGTAGAAGCTACAGGGCGCAATTACTTTTCGGCGTTCCCTATTATCGGATAATGACAGAATAGTGAAATCAAACAACCGTCCAGTCGTTGGTAAATAGGTAAATGCTTTCTTGATGTGCGGAAAGGTTGCTGTAGCAACAATTGAAGCAGCCGAGAAGGGTTTTGATATTGCTTTGCTCTGTTTTTTTTCCCCTGAAACAGGCTACTTTGAAGATACCGGGACTACTCTTAAGGTCGTACATTTGCAGCATTATTATTATTATTATTCCAGTTTTGTTAAACCACCGTTATAAGATGAAATGAGCGATGTGTATTTGAAAATGCGTTTTCAGTGCTGAGCGAGGCTATTATGCGACCTAAGAAGGGCGCTTTTGTCGGAAATTATCGTTGTGGAGAAATACCTTGCATAGTAATCTCGGTGGCTTCTACTCCATTTATCTGCCTGTCAAGTTTCATATTTAGCCAACGTGAATATACAAATCTTACTGCTGTGCCAACAATACTCTGCCGCTCATATTACTTAAGGCGTGTCATGCTTGCAGATTGTTTGATAAAAATAATAACGTATTTTTATAGCTCTTGGTGCTGGGCCGAAATTGACAAAATAAACCTCAATGGCTTTTTTCTATTCATGTTGTACTGCGTAGTGGAGCCGAAATTTTAATAACATCACCAGTTGACCCGGAAATTATGACGGATTAGTTCAGTGTAACGAAAATCTGGTGCGGCATCGTTTAGGAAATAAAAATATCGCTCTGACGCCCCTACCTTTTAGTTAGTTATCTGTTGATAAAACCAAGTTGAAACCATGATCCTCGATTCAAGGCCTTGTTACACGCTGATTCGTGAATGTAATGGCCCTTCGAGAAACCTTTGCACTGTTTTCCAACTAAATGGAAAATGGCGTGCGTCAAACCTCTCTTTAAAGATGGCGCCCAAGACTGTCGGGACAATTTTAGACCGATCTCTGTGCTCTCCATATTGTCTAAAGTCTGTGAAAAGCATGTTGCTGCCTCCTTTATGGATTACCTTGTGAAAACTCGCTTACTGTATGAATTGCAATCAGCTTTTCGCGCAGGGCACTCCACCGAGTCCGCGGTGATCAGTTTAACTGACCAAATCCTCTTCAATCTAGATGAAGACAAGCTTTCTGGAATGGTTTTTGTAGACTTTAGAAAAGCGTTTGACGTTGTTGATCATCAATTGCTTCTTACGAAATTGCGCCTGTATAGAGTGAGTGATCCTTCGCTGTCATGGTTTGAATCATATCTTTCTGGTCGCCAACAGTTTGTCAGTATTGACGGTCAAAGATCAGACTCTCTACTTATCAAGCTAGGGGTACCGCAAGGAAGTGTCTTAGGTCCCGCACTGTTTTTGTTATTTGTGAATGACATTCCCTTACATCTAACAAATTCAACTGTGGACATTTACGCTGACAACACTACAATAATCGCAAGTGCGCATTTCTCGGATCTATGCTCGATGACCCAACGTTTAAATTCCGATCTTGATGCGGTTCAGAGATGGGCGTCTTGCAACAAAATGTTCATCAACAAGAAAAAAACGAAGTCCCTTTAAGTGCACGGAAAGCGCATTCCTGCTAAGCTGGATGAGGACACACCCCTACGCTTAGATGTCAAGATTGATGACTGTTATTGAACAAGTCTCTTCTCATAAGATTTTAGGAGTAGTTATAGATAGTCAAGTGAACTACGAATCACACGTTGATGAATTATGTAAGAAACTTTCCGAACGCATAGGACTCTTGAAGTGTATTAGCCCGTTTCTTAAGCAACATCAAAGGGAAACCTATTACAATGGTGTTATAAAGCCCACCCTCCTTTATGGGAGCATGATATGGGACAGCTGCAATGTCGAACATCTTCAAAGTATTTTAAAACTTTAAAAAAGAGCGGCACACATTATACTTGATGCTGAAAGACTTAAACCATCGGTCGTATTATTCAATAATCTAAACTGGCTCCCTTTTACTAAACAATCTCTAATAAAGAGATGCGCAGTAGTGTATAAGCGGGTCCAAAATTATATTACGCCTGTTTATTTGAAGAGTTTATTAGTCAGAAATTCAGAAAGTCATAATCGCGCCACTAGGAATTCAAACATAAATCTGGTGTGCCCCGAGTATAAACGAAAAACAGAAGGAGGTCGTACTTTCACTATTAGGACTATAAAGGACTGGAATTGCATGAATGCCAATATAAGAAATAATGGCTCGCTAGCAAGTTTTAAGCGTAACGTTTTTAAATCCTTTCTAGCTGAACAAAAGGCTGCGATGCTCCTTAGACTGTAATTGTATATACGTTTTATGTTGTTTTTATCTATCTTAGTCATAATGTCTTTTTAGAAATTAATATCTATTATATTTTATCCGAAATTATCTTTGAAAATAGTATATTTTATAGTTTTTAGTTGTAGAATCTATATTTGTAATTTGTTTTGAGGGCCACAGAGTCATCAGTGTCTTAGGACTGCTGTTAAGTGTTTTACCCTCTTTAAATAAAGCCTATTATTATTATTATTATTATTATTATTATTATTATTATTATTATTATTATTATTATTATTATTATTATTATTATTATTATTATTGTTCGAAAGAGACTCAGCAAACGTGTTGCACCGCAAGCGATTGCAATTTTAAACAGTTATTTGTAGTGGTCAAAATAAAGGCGGTTGTCTTATGGGTCATCATTTTTTTTCCGGCTAATTGTTTCCGTGATGTCTCTCTTTTGCCGCCCGAAAGAATCCCTGGGAACGAGGTTGGAGATCAATAGGTTCATGCATCAGTGAGTTTCTGGTGCTTTCAAAATTTAACTATTATCCCAAACCATTTCTTCAATTCAAAGTTTCCTTTCCATTTCCTTGTGTCCGGGACCTTATGTCCACCAATAACCAACTTAAAACCTTCTTCAGGTTGACGAATTTAAAAGGCAACCTCTGTTAACCACGTTGTGATTGAACTCAAAGCATCTGTGCTAAAACTATTAAAGGAAAAATAGAACAGCCAGCTAGCACCTCTTTTCTATTAACTAAAATTCTAATCTGGTTAAAGTTTTTAAAACAAACGCGAACTGTACACGACGCTTTTTTCTCATGTTCCTTTTTTCATGTTTCCTCGCCAGCAAGCTGAGGCCAGTTTTCGTTTAAGCCGTTGTTTCCACGCTTCAGTGGCAAATTCAAATGGCTTTCTCGTATTTTTCGCGCCGTCAATAATTCAACAGGTTTCCTCTAACTGGTGCGACCTGTTGATCGTAAACCAAATTAGGAATTGTAGTCGCTGGCATTTGTAAACGAGCCGAGAAGTCGTCGCTTGGTTCTATTTGGAAAGCAGCTAGAGTTGAAAGATTTTTTTGCCCTATAAGATGGTGTGTTATTAAGCCGTCTCTAGATATTTCTATTGACTTTATAAAGAATGGATAATGTGTGTTTCACGCAAAGAAGAGTAGCAAGGACCAAGAGATAAAGAACTGAAATGACTTCGCAAGGTAGGTTACGAACGTTTATGATTTGCTGACGCAAAGTCGTAATATTATAAGTGTAGACTTAGGTTCATTATCAACACTTTGAGGGAAGATTATATTTTAGTAAGTTATAAAAAAATCTAGCCTGTTGTGATTTTTGAGTGATAATTCCATTGGCTTGACCCAGTAGGCTTAACCATTTTTTAGCTGTCGGAGTAAAGATATATATATTTTGTGGTATTTCCAATGATTTATTTTACTAACCAGTTTTTATCTCATAAGATGAAAATTTCAAACGTTATTTCTTTTGTTGTGATAAGTTAAACAGGGCGTCGGTAAGTTTTTAATTAAATAGGGAGATTTAAAAGCCATAATCGAAGGGAATGAGTGAGTGAAAATCGAAATCAAGATGTCTTATAAATAAATGATGAATGCGAGTCATTGAAAATCACAGAGACTCGAACAAAAGCTCACTGGTAAGAGCAACAGGCCTAGGAAATATGAAACAGCTAAAGAGCTCCGAATTTTTTGTTGCAACCAAACCTTTAGTTTCAATGGACACTTTTTTCCTGAAAAAATAAGGTTTCCCTTGAAAATGTGAGAAGAGAGCTTTTCATAGGAGATTATGAAATGAACTTAATGCTCTGACCTAAGTCTTGTTAAAAACAAATGAATAAATAGGCATACGTCTAGCAAATCGGAACAAAATTCACAATAGTTTTCGGAAAATGTACAGTGATAAAGAAATTAGACCATGCAACTTCAGTAAATTAGCTAAATTGATATGTCACTCAACAATTGTTATGTTTAATTTTTGTTGACAAATTTCTAAGTTTTTCCTTTAAAAAGGTGTTTTCTATTTTGCTTTTTAAGTTGTTTTGTAGGAAGCATTTTTTGACTGATTTTGGTTTCCTTTTTTCGAGCAGAGTTGCGGACACAAAAAAAAAAGAGAGAAAGAGGGACAGAAAAAGCTGAAAATCCCCTCAACTAGAGAAATAAAAAAAAGGCAGGCACAACCAACATACCCAAAATGTCTCGACAATATCTTTTGTTTAAATTGCCTTTTTGCGATCTCAATCACGGACTATACTTTAGAATCACATTTCACGAAAAGGCGCTCGCAGAAGCGAAAGTGAAGAATGAATTGTTGAAGGGGGTCCTTGGTGAATTTAGAGTATGGCAAAAAATGACTCGCATACTGTAGCACGTTCTTAAATTGTGCAATTTATGGTTTGCCATTGTTATAGCTTATACCCGAAATCGCTGGATATTTGGAATCCTGAACCCTAAAAGTTACGTATAAAGAAGTTTTAGTACAAGGAACTAAGACTGACGGGATAATTTAAATTTCCTTTCCTTTTTTCTTATAAAACGTACGCTAAGAAGAAAGCTAGAAGTAAGTGAAACATCTTTATTTTCTAACTAGGTTCTTGAACACTTCTCTTATCTACTTGAAGGAAGTGTTAACTTGACTTATCTAAACCGTAAAACGTTGATTATGAAAATTAAAAGAAAATGTGTTTGTAGAGTGTTTAAACAAACATTGCTTTCTGACTTGAGATCAATGATTTACTTACATCTCCCTTAAATCAAATTAAAACACGATAAGGGAAAAAACCCTAAAAGAAGTAAAGAAAAAAGTGAAAACAAGAAAATAAAATAAGGCAAATGCGTTTGGGGACTGGAATGCCCTTTTCGCTTCTTAGTAAACTTCGTTTGGTATAATGAAAAAATTGTAGTGATAATTTTCATACTCTTCCACAAGACTTTCACACACAATTTCCACAATAAAGAAACTGTTGATCGTTGCTCACATATTTTTGTCATGGTACCCGTTCTGACCCCTAAATCTTTAGAGGTAANAATTTAAATTTCCTTTTCTTTTTCCTTATAAAACGTACGCTAAGAAGAAAGCTAGAAGGAAGTGAAACATCTTTATTTTCTAACTAGGTTCTTGAACACTTCTCTTATGTACTTGAAGGAAGTGTTAACTTGACTTATCTAAACCGTAAAACGTTATGAAAATTAAAAGAAAATGTGTTTGTAGAGTGTTTAAACAAACATTGCTTTCTGACTTGAGATCAATGATTTACTTACATCTCCCTTAAATCAAATTAAAACACGATAAGGGAAAAAACCCTAAAAGAAGTAAAGAAAAAAGTGAAAACAAGAAAATAAAATAAGGCAAATGCGTTTGGGGACTGGAATGCCCTTTTCGCTTCTTAGTAAACTTCGTTTGGTATAATGAAAAAATTGTAGTGATAATTTTCATACTCTTCCACAAGACTTTCACACACAATTTCCACAATAAAGAAACTGTTGATCGTTGCTCACATATTTTTGTCATGGTACCCGTTCTGACCCCTAAATCTTTAGAGGTAACTATTTTATCATAACACTCCACTGCGGGTCCTGCTTTCATCTCGAGCTGGTAGCCAGCAGGATAATTTTTTTTGGAACACAGCTTTAACATCGAAATATTGTTTGAAACCCGCTAAAGACACTTAGTATAAAATGGGGTCTTAACTTGCTAGGAGGTCAGTAGAGTAGGTACGATGTATTTCAATTTTGAGGTTGCTTGCATGAAGATTGTAACTAAAGAAGAAATTCTTAAGTTTCGTGTTATTTTGAACTTTGTGTCTAATATTTCTAATTTAAACCAACAAAAGGGTACTGAATTTCGAATTGAACAAAATGAAGAAACGAGAAACTGCAAATGATGTTTCCGTCTCCTAAAAGAAAAATATGGTTTTTGAGGGCTTTTTTGGAGATTGTCAGTGAACCCAATACTCGTTAAGGATGGCTAGTCAACCGAACTCAGTTTTAAAAGCGAAATAATCGATGTTTAAAAACCAAATAATTTTGGCTGCTAAAGTTACTATTTCAACATGGCAAAACATAGAGCCAAGTTTTCTAACTAAATGTTTTGAATTCTTTTCTTGTTAGATTATATGGCTTCATCTAGGGTTGTCCCAAGATTTTTGGTCCTTGGAATATTTGTTTTGTTTTGTTCAATCTGTTGGGCTGATGCACAGGCATACCAACGTGCACAGAAACCCCACATCATTATGATAGTAGCGGATGATCTGGTGAGTGAACTAGTAAAGGAACCAGGCTTCCCCTGTGAACTTATATAAGATACTTAAAACAGTAAGAATACTGTCATCTTTTGGAATTACCTAAATGAGTTTCCATTTGTTTGCCTGACGTCGAAGCATTTTATATCGATAGGAGTTTTGTTTTACAAAGTCAGCAAATGCCTATTCTGAACAGCTCAATAATTTGTGATTGTTTTTTACTCGCTTTGAAAAATATGAACATAAGAATACAACTGAAGTTTTTCATTGGATCTAATCATTAATAATTCTCATTGCAAATCACCATTTTCTCGTGTTTTGTTTTAGTAAAGTAGAAATCATCCATTAAAGTCAACCGTAGTTTGTGGAGAACAGCAACAACAACAACAACTCTATGGGCCCTTGCTAACCATCTTGATAACCATCTCCTCACTTCAAGTAGTTTTTTTATGTTTTATAAAATGACTTTATGTTGTTGGCTTTACTCCGTTACTGACTCACTGTATTTGTAATTTCAACTCGTTTTTTTACTGATTTTTTAATTTTTCAGGGATGGGATGACGTAAGTTTTCATGGCTCGCCCCAGATCCCCACTCCCACCCTGGATGGGCTGGCTGAATCAGGAGTTATCTTGAATAACTATTATGTGTCTCCCATGGATTCGCCAACAAGGGCAGCCTTCATGACAGGAAAATACGCTCTAAATTTAGGTAACCAGTTTATATTTATCAAGTATACATTATTAAATATGCACAATCTATAACGGCTACCTTAAGGACAGAGGATGGGGTAAGGTTGCCGTCACTTTGACCAGCTAGGGGTGTAATTTGACGAGTTGTGTGAAAGGGTAGAACGTTTTAATTGGTAAAAACAGTTGTAATTGGGTATAATTTGTAGCACAATCTGTGGTCAAGTTTAGTAAACAAAACCCAAAGGTTCAGAGCGAAAATACTGACAAATCTACATTGCTTCTTTTTTTTAAAAAAACGAAAAATGGCCGTTGTGGATAGGTTATTTGAGTAGCTGGGAGGCGCGTAATGGAGAAGTGTCGCTCTTAGAGAGGAGACACGAAGTCATGTCGTTGTAGATTCCAACCCGAAAAGTTTTAGGTTTACGATAATCATTTGGGGGGAACCAATCAGATCTCGAAATGGCACCAAGTGAGATCAAATCCTAATAGTAAGGGGCTATTCACACAATACTAGAATGAGAAATGAGTTTTGTTCTCTGTCAATTTCGTACTATTTTCACACAACAAATTCGCCCTACTCACGCTTTTTTAAGTTCGCCTGTCTATCGTGCCAAATCACCTTGAAAGCGATAAGCATACGCCACTTACCCCAAACTACTCGGTTGCAATTTTCATTTCGGAACGAAACAGAATGAAATATCATACAAGGAGAACAAGAATTTCATTTGGATTGAAGACCGAAATTAACTCATTCCGGAATAACTTGTACGAAAGCGAAGTTTCTTTTATCGGTATCTTATAAACGGGTACAGGGAAATCATGTATGGAGATGAAATGGACTCGCTCCAGAAAAAAAGAAGTTACTTAGCTGTCATGTTACCTAAGTTTTAGGTTCTATTCTTATTAATTTAAAAAGGAGCTGGGTATTTTCAGCAAATCATACAGCGAGGCAATTCAAGCCATGGAAGGTGTGTGTAAAATTGAAGATCTTGGTCAGGGTCTTTATCTGAATAAAATGTCTAGTCAAATCGTCAGTCATCATCATCTTTATCGTAGAAGCTTGGCATCGCGTGTGTGTAATTGTTCAAACGTTTGTTTGAATGGCACAATGGACTTTAAAGTGTGAAAAGGCAGATTTCGCTTGAGCACAGTTTCTCCGGCAATTAAAGGAGTCTTTACTTGAGCTTTTCGATCTGATATTTGAAACAAGTAGACTTCTGTACTGAAAAAAAAAATGTAGAAGAAGAGGAAGAAGAAGAAGAAAAGAACTAAGGTACATTTGAGGCGACGTTTGAACTTTTGCCTTCCATGCCAATGTGTGTTACATTAATATAGAAGTTGTTGAAAATTTGAGCTTTAATTATAGCACGTGCATGTCGAACCAAAATTGGTTATTGTATGGTTTTATCGGGCTTAGTCGATGGTTAAACCCCAGAACGCCAAAATTTAGTTCTTTTTCTCATTCGAGCTAATGGCACAGAAGAAAAAATTAATGTCCTTTGTCTTTCCTTTCTATGTATTAATCTCTTTTTACAATTTTTTGTTGCTGATTTGCAGGGCTTCAGCATGACACAATCCATAATAAACAGCCCTTTGGGTTGCCGCTTAAAGAGAAGCTTCTTCCAGAGTATTTGCGGCAGATGGGCTATTCCACCCATGCTGTAGGAAAGGTACGTTGAAACTTTTCTGGTGGGCAGCACCCTGAATTATTGAAAAAAAAAAATCACGAGTATTCTTAGTCTGCAACCACGTGAAAAGAAGACCATGTTGGTGGTCCTTACAATACTTTTTTCGGAGAATATAATGAAAATGGAGTTCCCAGAGGAGAGAAATGCTTTTAATTTGTTCTTGACCACCAACATGGCCTCCGTAACGTCACTTGCAAACAAGCAATTATTGCCTCAGGTTTGCACGTTCTCCCAACCTTATATAACTATGAAATGGTATTCTTTTAAGGATCCTCCTTTCCCCCCTTGATATAATTTCTATTTTCTGCGCACGTAACGGCTATGTTAAAACGAAAAATATCACATGATGTAAAACCAGTTAATAATAAAGTTTTAATTGAGACTAATGCAGGTTAATATATTGAGATCATTGTTAAAAGCCTGTAGCTAGGCGATAGACAAACGGCTATTTTTTTTTTGTGCAAGGAGAACTTTTAGTTTTACATTGTGATGGGCTTTGTTTAATAATAAGGTTTTGATTGCGTCATTTTGTTCCAACAGTGGCAGCTGGGTTTTTTTGCTAAAGAATTCACCCCTACCTACAGGGGATTTGACTCATTCTACGGCTTCTGGACTTCCGGTCAGGACTATTTCAGTCATGTGACCTATGACGGAAGTTACGGGCTTGATTTGAGGAGAGACTTGGCTGTAAGTATTTAAATGAATTTTTTTTTTCTGTTCTAATGGTTCTGATAACCTAAAAGTATGTTTCAGTGTAGAATTCTTCAAGAGACCGTGGATTTTTTGCGGAGAAACTTGAGACCTTTTAAAACAAGTTCGAGAACCTTCGTTCCTTTTCGGTAGAAACAGTCGGGAATTTTTGGATGGTACTGTTGCTTAGTTAATGTCTGCTGTTGTTTTCCCAGGTCGTGTACAATGAAACAGGTACTTATGGTACGGAGCTGTTCACTCGTGAAGCCGACAAAGTTATTAATGACCACGATGATTCCAAACCTTTGTTTCTGTACTTTGCACAGCAAGCGGTGCATGTAGGGAATGATAACGAGCCGCTCCAGGTCCCAAAGAAATACCTCGACCGTCTTAGTTACATCGGTGACGAAAAGAGGCGGACGTATGCAGGTAATAAACAAAAAGTGGTTCTAATTATAATTGAGTCATACTTTTAAGTTAGTTTATCGGTGTAATAATTCATATTGTTTCTGTAGGTTCTGTTCTTATTGATTTTTAAACTGAATGGCGGGGGATTTTAGGCCAATCATCTAGCGAGGCAATACAGGCTAGAAAGGTGGATGTAAAATTGACGTTCTCGTTGCCCTCGTAGACGACTCTTGTGGTTCTGGTCAAGTGTGATTAATAAAACATTCGCATAAAACACGAGAGCGCTATTACTTTGAATCATTTTGTTGGATTTTCTGTGGTCTTAGCAAATTGTTTTCGCCCCTTTTGTTTTTCACATTCTTTGCCCTCTCATTCTTGAATACTTTTCTCCAAATGAATTCTTACTGTTCAGTGTTGTTGTTGTTTTATTATTGAGTAAAGTTTTCAAAATGTGGTACCTCTGACGCTGGGCATTCCATGAGGGGCGAGCCTTGGAAATGAATTTACAAAACGTGATTACTAGTACCTCTGTTTGTACAAGGAAAAGTCACTCCTTGAAATAAATTTCTTACTTAATTTATCTTAGGTATGGTCTCTGCTTTGGATGAGTCAGTTCGCCAAATAGTCACAACTCTAAAGAGGAAAGGTCTCTATGACAACTCCATCATCATTTTTACCACTGACAACGGCGCAGCCGCTGGGGGATTGGACTCCAGTGCGGGCTCAAATTTTCCGCTGCGAGGTGCTAAAAATACTCTATGGGAGGGAGGAGTGCGTGGAGTGGGTTTTGTCCACAGCCCTCTTATCAAGAAGAGAGGTAAACTATCGCCTTCAATTATGTTCTCAGTATTGATTCCGTGGCATCTCAAGTCTTTCCCTTTGTCATGACTGTGTAGTTCCTAGTCTTCCAACCTTTAAGATAATTTCGATCAATTGACGTTGACTTGTTCATGTCGCGTTGGACAAGTTAGGCCAAATAGCCAAAATATAACTGACGACCACAATGATGAAAATATCGGTAAGACTCTCGCCATCATTTGTAAAGTAATCTATCTAGTGCTACATTTGCGATCTATTTAAGAATTTTTCCTTTCTCCACTAAGGTCGAGTATCAACTGCTTTATTGCACGCTTCTGACTGGTTCCCAACCTTCTATACGCTGGCAGGCGGTAACGTTAAGAGCCTGGGTGCCATTGACGGTTTTAATGTCTGGGATACAATTTCAAATGATGCCCAGTCTCCAAGATACGAGATTCTGCATGGCTTGGATTCTTTAAAAGAGAAAAAGGCAGCTATAAGAATCGGAGACTACAAGATGATTGTCCACCAAAACCGCAGTTTCTATAGCGACTGGTACCCCAGACCTGAAAGTCTACACGAACTTGATCAGGTCCCTAAGCCAAGTCTGCTTAAAGATGCATCAGTAGACTGTACAGTCAGGCATCCACATCCTTTGCTGTACACTAAAGCGCCGATTTGCAACCCTGAGAAAAAGCCTTGTCTCTTCAATATCAAATGGGACCCATGCGAGTATCACAACTTGGCTGATTTTATGCCTAACACCCTAAAAGTTATGATAGACAGGCTGAAATTCTATGCTCGAAAATCTGCGCCCACAATGTACCCTCAAGCGGATGAAAGCGCAAACCCTGATCAGCATGGAGGAGTCTGGACACCATGGCGGGAGAAAACGGATGTTGATCAGACCATGAACGACTATGTTTATCCATATTCTTACTACGATTCGCCCAAACCTAAGCCTAGCGGTCCCCCGAAGAACCAGCTTGACCAGTTTATGAGAGATCAAGGACTGGCTGGTAGCGATAAAGCAAACACTTACCCAGAAGTTGAAGATATTATCATCAACTTCCGGGAACATAACATGACGGAAGGTTCTTTATTCCTCCGTTAGCGCTGGAATCGTTTATGGCTTTGTTGTGGTTGTTGGCGAAGATGCCGTTCGTACCGTGGCGGCCGCCAATAGTACCGAAGGTGACGACGCGAGTAGTTGTGACGAGGAGGAGGACGGTCTATTGCTCCAGCGATTGCGTCCAGGGTCACACCGAAACTTGATTATGCCGCGCAGAGACCGAAACCTTTCCGCCCAACAGGATTTCTGAAAGGCTTCTTTCGGCATCAACTTGCTCATACCACCATGACACCAGGTGGTGCCAATCGTATCGCTGACACAGTGAAACAAGTCGAACAGATTGTTGCGAAAACCCCTAAGTATGTCAACCCACTCACCATGCGACCCACTGACAAAATGCCTGCCATACACGCCTGGCCCACGGAGCAGTCACTTCTTCCAAATGACGTACAAAGCGTGATCAGACATAACGGTTTCACCAAGCATCTCGCCTCAAGCCACGTAGAGGAGGTCTCGATGCTTCCTCCTGTGAAATCACCAGAGACACTTGCTCACAAACCGGCTATGTTCAGCTCACACGCTCACAAAGGGGACACACTGCCTGAAATTCTCGATATAATCGATGAGCCCGCTGTGCCGAATGCCTATGCTGCAGGCGGTAGCGGTCAGGAGGAAACCATTCCGAAGATTTTTGACATTATTGACGAAGCTCATAAACAGGGCAGTCAAGTGAAGGAGTTATCTTCACAACAACAAGGGCCAATAGCAACTAGCAAACCACTAACCAGCAACGATGTAGGCTCAGGAATGGGCGTGGGTCTGACGGGATTACCAGACGGAATTTCGGTTTTCGGTAAGTTGGGCGATCAGAAGATTTTGTCCAAGTCCCACGAGACCGGAGAAGGAAGGGAACATATTGTCGCTAAAGAGAAACCGTCGAAAGGAAAGAAGAAGGCGAATGTCCACAAATTCATTGGCAATATTACCATCGACGGTCGGCGTTATCTAGTTGTGGGAACTGAGACTGAGGAATCGGATTCAGTTTCGTCGCATATGGAGGGTAACACGATCACTCTACATCTACCAAAGTCAAAGAAACCCCACTCTCACGATGAAAAGTCAAAGGGCAAAGATAAGTCAGCAGAAGACGCAGATAGCAAGTCGGAGATTGGAGGATTTCGTGCCCCCAGCGAGCCTGGAATCGGTGAAATCACTGACTACATTGACGACGACGAACTTGGCACCGAGAAACCGACGAACAAAACACTGGCAGCCCATAATATCACGGCGGTGGCGACCACTGGCAACAACACGAAGTGCGAGAAGGTCGTTCAGTTGGATACCTCCGATAACGCAGTCGTCGTGTCTTCGGTCGTGATTGTCGTTATTGCGTCGGCAATGGTCGTGGGAGTTGCCGTTGTTGCTATGGTTGCGGTGGTTGCGAGGCACTGTCAAAATGCTAGAAATTGATATACATTCTCTCATTCGACTTCTATTTTTTCGCAGAAAGCTAAAGCATTTTTATCTTTAAGTTTTTGTGATTTGAAATGTACAGAGATAAAGTGACTTGGATTTAATAATAGCGGTAGAATTGATTATATCAGTCTATAAATAATTGTTCAATCGTCTTCTTTCATCACATCGGATAACTGCCTTCATCTCCAATTCATTTTATGTCGAATCCTAGTTTATTTTTCTTCCGTCCACAAACTACCCTGGTGCTTCTATTGGTAAATATTCTGCAAATGTTCACTTCTGGCAATATAGGCGTTGAGGCCTGAAATAGGAAACTTGAGAAAAGTGTAATAAAGATTTCAGTTGCAAACTACCCGTTTTACACTTGCATCGATTGATTAGTCAAGAGCACATTTAAGTTCTTTTAAACTAGGTTTCGAAAGGGAAGATCACAACAAAAGTTTTCCTATATTTGTTGCTTATACCACCATGCCACCAACCCTCAAACCATATTCAGGGCGACATTGATACATTAGTTACATAGGTATTTTATCACATAAGTAAACCTAACTAGCTCGTCTCAACTTACAAATGCAAAAAAAAAATAAGAAAAACATTATACCTAGGGCGGGAAAACGTGCCATTGGTGTCGTCAAAGCGTCAAGCCACTAAATGTGCCACAGTCGTTAATTGCGGAAAACACATTACCATGTTAAACAACGCAGATGGCTATAGTCTTGGGTTAACGTGTTGCCGAAGGTGAGACGTTTTCTGGTTTGCTTTAATTCGCCAAAGTTTTTCGTAATTGTAGAGAACGACAAGTGCGAACCAACGCGAAATTAAGTATCCTTGACAGTCACTATGTATTTTTGGTTTTCGTTTTTCACAGAAGTTGTGGTTTCTTTAACATCCCTGCCAGATCTCATTCAAATTCCTGTATTTTTATTAATAAACGAACGTAAAAAAAATTCAAGCTTAATGGGAATCGTGGGTTTAGGTATTTTATTTTTTTCAAGAGACTTTTCGTTCTAGCAAACAAATTTTAAATATTTCATTTGTGTGTCTTATACCAAAAATCATTAAGCCCTAATTGTGATTAGCATTTATTTACTCCGCTCATGACATCTCTACTAATTGACCCAATGGTCATGGAAATAATTGCAGTTATTGGGATAAAATGCCTTGATTTTCAAACAAATTCTCCATCGTGGTGTCACGAGAAAGGACTGGGAAGAGTGAAGAGAATATACATGCTGATATTAACTTTAAAGGGCTAATTATTTTAGTGTTTATAGATATTTGATGTCTGTAAGCTTCAGCGTTTGTTATTGATTGTTGTTAGAAGAAGTCAATGAGACTAATAAAATTTTCATGTACGCGTTGTAGTGTAATATTCTGATTTGATGGTCCTACTTTTTAGCCTTTGATACGGTCTTTTAGTCTTGTGCCGCACGTTTGGTCACTTTGTTATTGATTGCGACGTCTCGACCTCTTACTGCTGGTGTTCGTTAGGAGATGAGTGGTATAAGTAGGTCAAATATGACACGTGACTTACGTTTCGACAACCTCTGCGGTAGTCTTCTCCAGAGTCAAAGTGAGGTGTTTTACGTCAGTAGACGGTATTAAACACTGCTTATTGACCTGATTGGTCATTAAGTCGCGATGCTATTGGTCGTCTGTCAGTTAAGCCATGATGTTATTTGCTATGAAGACTCTAAATGTGTTTAGTGCGTTTTGATCCGTCTATTGTCACAGTTATAACGGTCGTTTTTGTATGTCAACAGCGGTGTTTCCCGTGGCCTATCACGTTCATTTGTCTGTTCATGCTTGCATCTTCTTGTTTTGTCGATATCTTGGAGGCCCGGTTCCTTTACAGAGTTTTCAAATTATTTATTATATGGCTACAAAAGTACGCGCGCCCTGATTGGCTGTTTTCTTGTCAAGACTGAGCATCATTTTCTTGTAATGACCGGGCATTACTAGCTAGGTGTCCAAGGCATACACAATCTGTGTTAAACTTGATAGTGGACATCCATGTTATGGTCAATTGACAGCTGTCAAAAAGGGTATCCGCGGACCAGTGTCACCTCACTGTATCGCGAGCTCAATTGTTCAGCTCATTGCGGTTGACTTGTTTAAGTTTTCCGCTGATCAGTTGTTGGTTCTAGTTGATCACAGGCTCAGGTCCATAATGAAAGGGCCATATAAAAAATAACTTATTAATCTCGTCTGTTCGGTCATTACAGGGGATTCTCAGACCGAGGCCTTGATGTATTCCCTGTAATGACCTCACTCGCGGTTTTGTATATTCAGGCGGGCGGAGGGTAGTCCAGAAATGTAAAAAGCTTTTTCAAGGTGTCCAATGAGTAATAGTTTAAGGCTAATCATAACCAAGAGGTCTTCAAATCTCATTTAGGGAACTGTTGTTACCTGCATCACTTGACCAGCCACCAGCAATTTTATTAAAAAAAATTCTTTGACTCGCAATTCCTGCCAGTGAGTTAGAGAGCAATAATCGCTCCTTCTCAACAGATCCAAACAATGGAATTAAACTAGGCCATATGACGTTTTTTTCCCATCAGTGCCGGTATTAACGGGGTAAAGCCCCGTGCAAACGGACGCAACATTGTTCTATGTTACATGTTACGTCCGTTTGCACATCCTGTTGCATATTGTTGCGTGTTGTCAGTGTGTTATTGGGAGTTGTTGCGCAAAGTTTGAAACCGATCAAATTATTAGCCACGCTAACGATGTTAGGAGTTGTCGCGTTCATTTGCATGTAGCTTTACACCCTCGTTGCTAAGTATTCGGCCAGCATTCCTTGGATATGCATCCTGTTTGATCAGATGTAGATTACGAGTAGTCCCCCATTTTTCCTCAGGGATAGTAGAGCGAGCGAAACGCGAGCGCGCTTGAAAATCACCTCACGCGAAAAAGGCGATACGTGTGTCGCCTTTTCTCGCGCGGGGTGATTTTCAGGCGCGCTCGCGTTTCGTTCGCTCTACTATCCCTGAGGAAAAATGGGGGACTACTCGTAGTCTAGATCAGATGCTCACCAAAGTTGAGCTATAAAAAAGGAATCAGAAGATCACAACTTTGTTGCAATTTATTTATATTTACTATCGAACGTTTAGCGCGCACTCTTATATGGTGGATACTAAGACCTATACAAGAACGTTAAAAAGGTAGTTATCCTTAAGCGTAAGTGACTACGCTGTAATCATGACTGCAATAATTAAAACTATTGCTACTATCCTTTTTACTATCTTCAATGATATCGTCACTTCCATGATCATCATCATTGCTATCTTCATTAGTATCACTTAGAGAGATTATGGGTCGAGTGTCGTAAACCAAACTATTGTACTTGCTCTGGCCAATCACAACCCACCCAGACAGTAGTCACAGTACAATGTACCAATCATCGCTCGGGCGGAATGATCGCCGGAAAATTTGAATTATACCCTGGAAAGGCTGGCCCAAGTTTTATTTGATCGACCTCTAAGAATACCATTTTAGAACAAAGCCAATTAAGAGCTACAGGCATCTTAACTGCGATATAGACATCGTCATTGCATGCTTTCCTTTTCTTCTCCAACTTACGTTATTTCTGCGCGCCGCGCACATCCCTTGCGAGGCCTGTATGTGGAAATGTATGGGCATTCTGTCTTAAAAACCCAAAGTGATACCAGAATCCGTTATTTATGTTTCGAAAAGGGACGACGACCATCCCCGCCGTTCCACATGTCCCCACCCCACCACCACCTTCTGGGAAAGCATTAGGGACCATAGGATTCAAGGATGACAACTACAGCGACAGCATCGCGTAAAAGTGAAGTGAATTCGCGTTCTTTTAATGTTCTTGCGATTTTTCCAACTCACTTGGTTAGGTGTAGGCGAACTCTCCTGGAATTGACTTCCTACGAACCATATCCAAGTTTAGGAAGAGAAAGAAAATTTCGTCGTGACTAGTTGAAGTCCTCCGTGAAACGTGAAGTCGTGCAGCAACGGCAGAGAAGTCTACAAAAAAAGTGTGATGCACGTGCAAAGTTGCTGTCTTGCTAATCTAAACGTTTTTTTTTTTTTGACATTCTCATTGCTGTTGCCGTTCTTATCCGATAGCATTCAAGAAACGGAGGAATCAAGGCATATGTTTGAGATAATTATATAACGTAGCTATGCGGTACCAAGCAATCTTTCTGTATACTTCAAACCGAAAACGCCCTTTTTTCAGTTGGTCAGAGTAACAACTCATAACTAAACAAAATTTTCAATATCTTACATATTATAAACAACATTCTTAACTATTTTTAACTATTTTGTCTAGAAGTAACGAAACGTATATATGTATATGTATATTTTTTTGTTTGTAAATTTTGCTGTCGTATTGTGCTTTACATCAACATGTTAACAGCAAGTGCAAAACTTCAAAGATCCCGCGAGTACTGTTTCTACTATGTACTGACGCCCAGACACTCCAAGCTGATGACCTCTTCGATATCTTTACCACCACCCCACGTCCGTAGTAAAAATTCCACAAACTGGAGAGTGTTTTTCAACTGTGCGATTTCTTTTTACTCGGACGTGTTTTTGTTGTTCGGTCGTGGTTGCCTTAGCTCCCTGGTGTGTTACCAGACCACATCTAGCAAGTACTTTAACTTACATTTACAAAGTTCCATAGGGCTACATATCATTCTATCTTAACGTTGCTTTTCTTTTAAAAATCTGCTCTTAAATCTGTTGTATTCCAAACGTACTCGCTCACCGCCGTGTTGGAGGACCGATATACAGGAATTTGTTGACTTTTTCTTCGGCGAAGGCGTAGAATTCTGGAAAGTTCTTTTTAAAGGTCAAGCTTTGACGTTTATTTGAGAAGAAACTGCGTGGTTCAGCCATTGTAGCAAGAATCTGAGTGACAAGATTTTCATCCTTTAAAAGGAAAAAAAAAAGGAAAAAAGTTAAGGAGACATGTTTCCGTTAGAAAACCAAGACAATAAATAAACGCTTAACATGTT